AAGGTAGAGATCCTCTTTGGTGTATCGTTATCCAATCCATTCCACTTGTTCATATAGAGTTCTCCGCCACCACATGAAATCCAGTCCACGTTTTTTCCTGCAACCTTAATAGCAGGATGCTAGCAAGTTTACATACAGAGCCAGCTAAGTGCAGCAGGAAGGCTCAGTGAAAAGTAAATATACAAAAGTTTTTCAAGAAAGTAAGTATTAATCATCACTGCTGGTAGTAACCATAAACATAAAGAGTAGATAGACAGACCATTTATAGTTTTAATGTTCAGTTTTGGGGTATTTTTGAATTGATGTTAAAATATTATTTAGCCTTGAATGATTGAAAAATAACTATGGAAAAAAATAATAATCTGAAAGTGTAGGTATTGTTCTCTAAATAAATGTTACTGAAATGATACTTTGTACTGTACACACACACACACACACACACACACACACACACAATACATATTTATACAAAAATTCTGTGCGTCTCCTTGGGGCTAAGCCCCCCATGTCCTTAAACCTAATGACACCCCTGCTCACAAATATCACATTTAAAAAAATTTGGATAATTGCACATGAGGATAGTGCAGTTACAAGTCAGCTTTTGAGCTCATAAACCATAATTTATGTTTTCAAACTTATTGAAATACACATTTCACATGCACTGTACTTCAGCTTCTTGTACCTTTGTGTCCATTGTTGAAATATTAGTGAAGTTGTGTTTGTATCAGATTGTTTAGATGAGGAGATTGGTTGTTCATCGGTACATAATGCTGCACGTCTTTAATCCCCTGGAGCCTCTGCAGGACTGGAGGTTTTATAGTCTCTGTGGGACAGCAGCAGACCTGTCCAGCACCTTCTAAACACACACAGTCAGTCATAGATGGAGTGTGCAACTGTGTATTCTTTGCTCAGAAGTAAGTAAAATAGGATCACATTCTGGATCTGTGGTTCCCCAACAACCACATGATACACAGTCTGATAGTTTATCTGCACTGTTGTCTCCCCCCTTCCTCTCTGTCTGTGGGTTGGGGAGGGGTTTCTTGCCTTGCAGCCATCCAATTCCTCTGCTGGCCTGTGCCACGTTGCATTTGCATAGGATCAAGTCTGAGCCTCCAGAAAAAACGCAGAGGGAAAAAAGATAAGAAAATTGGCCCTAATGAAAACCAGAAGCACTGTCTCACTGTCTCTCTCTGTCTCTCTCTSTSTMTSTSTCTCTCTCTCTCTCTCTCTCTCTCTCTYTTTTTTTTCTCCCCCCACCCGTCCGCCCCAAGTCCCCCTTTTTCGCCATGAACTTGGAAAGAGGAGAGAGCAAGAGAATTAAATTTAATTCAAAACAGCTCTGTGCAGCTCCAGATGACAGGGCTTTGAAGTGTAAGTGTGCGTGTGTGAGTTTTTCACTCTCTTCTTCTCTCTCCTTCTTTTTTTTTCAATGAACGAAGGGGGGAAAGCCTTCAAGTGCTGCAGTTAACCTTTCACTTGCTGGTTTGATGAAAACGGCTCCCTCTAAAGGACACTTCATATTTCTTCCACCTGACTTCCGTAAAGGAAAGAAGGATCAAATTTTATGCAAATTTTAATGTTGTAGCTCGATCATAACGAAACGAGCATTCCTTGAAAAACATCGCCCAAAGTTTTAAACCATGTTTCTGTCTTTTATGTCTAATAATAAAAAGTATAATTAGAATTTCAGTCCTGCCACTCCTCAGATAATACACGTAGRCCTGTTGCTTTATGTAAAGCATCTGATTAGGCGTGAGCCGACCATTTTTATGGGTACAACTCGTTTTGCTCAAGCTGTTCCATTGTTGATGGCTCAGTCATAATATCCCCCATAATTTAAAACGAGTCCCTTTCATCTCTGCATATGTAGTCTCTGATTCACGACCCATCAGTCCTCCTCAAAAACCACTGGTTTCCTTCTTTTCCCAGTCTGCTAATTGATCTCTGYGGCTCTTTATTTCCTTAGACGTCAGGGTGTTATTCCTGTGGGCRTGGGCTGGAACTGATGACACCAGCAGTATTCACCTTTCACAAACCAGAACTCTTTCTGTTGGCGTTCAAGGTTGGTGGAGGGGGTGTGGAAGCCGTCAGTGGTTTAAGCGTCCTTGGTAGTCATGGTTTTTCTCTGGGTCTGTTGCTGACTCCTGTTATTAAGTGAGGTATTTTATGGCTCAAATGTTAATAGAMTAAGGTTGCGGGTAGATTATTTCATATATCTTTAAGATTCTTCATCTCTCAGTTTTGTCTGTTCCCTCTCCATCAGTCGTTTTCGCTGAAGCTCTTTCATCTCCCAAGCATGACGTTTTTCCCTGACGTGCTGCCAGATCCTCTCTAGAGTASGGTGACGCACGCTCTGCATGTCTGGGACTCCCAAAAACCTCCTAAAGCTACGTCCCACCTCTCCCTCAGACAGCTGTGTGTTCGTTAGAGTGTTGTAACGGAGGGGGGCAGAGGGAGGGYTGAGCACAGCTCAGGGCTGTAATTAGGCGGTGTGCAAGAAATGGAAAAACCTGCGGCCTACAGAGTTCAGGGTGAGCCGCCCGCCCACATCCATCGAACCAGCAACCGTGTTCCTGAGGTCGACAAAGTGCAGGGGACCTACAACAGAACTCTGCGGTACTCCGTCAYTCGCAAACCTCACCGAAACACAACTTGCCAAAATAACCCAAAAACCTAAAGAAATAAAAACTGTTGTGCAGAGTCAGAAGTCCCACAAGGAATCAAAGAAAAAACACTTGTTTTGGCAGCTGGGAAGTYGTACTAAAAACACCTTTTTTCAAAAAGTCAATTAAAGGTGCGCATCACAAGCTATGAAATTAAAAATAAAAAGTTGAAACTGAACTATTTCCAAATATTGATATTCAGTTCTGAAATGTAAATGAACACAAAACACCAAATTAAACAAATGAATGAAACTCCCATTCAGCCCGAGTAAAAAGCCAGAAAAAAAGGTTTTCTTCAAAATTCAGGAAACAATTTGTGCATTAAAATAGTTGCATTTTTTCTTTATGAAAAGATAACTTTCTATCTTTTGTTTTGTTTATACCTTTTGTGATGCAGACTAGAATAAAGTCAAATTAAAAATCCTACTTTTGTGTTATTATTCGGTACAATACTGTTTAGTTTCATTTCACCACCATGACCCAGTAAACCTCAGAGGATTTTCCAGCCACAGTGCTCCGCTGCACAGAACCCCAGTGTTGATTAGATTTTCCTGACATTTCTCAGCAGTTGTGTGCCAAATGAAGTTTGTATACAAACAGCCCTCATTCACCACACCCATCCAGTGTTAGAAATATCCTCCATAATTAACACACATACATGCATGCAATTATATCCATCCTCCTTTTTACTTAGGGGCTGTGGAGTGGATTGATGCCTCCAAATTTCCAGTCTTTCCACTTCAAACATTTCTGTGGAAATAATCCCTGCCACACACTAAGCTGACACATAAACACAACCTGTGGATGTTTGTTTGGAAGAGCTTGAAAAGGAGGGAAATAATTTAAAGGAAATGAGTKATGAGTGCAACAGTTAATGTTTTGATTCATATTTGTTGTCTCTTGACGTGGAAACACCTTGGGGTCCCGCAGAAGAAGCTCTAGAGTTTTTCTGGGGAGAGAGATGTMTAATTCTCTCCTTGGCCTGCTGCCTTTGCAACCTGACCATGGATCAGTGGTGGAAAATTACCCTTGGATCTCTTGTTCTATTTTGTCATACAAATACAACATTTCCAAAAAAGAAAGCATAAATAATTAATCTTTTGTTTTTTGTGTCATCCTCACTCTAGAACGGTGGTCATGCCCATCGCCAACGAGTTTGCCCCGGACATGGTTCTGGTGTCTTCTGGCTTCGATGCGGTCGATGGACACGCTCCACCCCTGGGGGGATACAAACTGACAGGCAAATGTAAGCACTGATCGCAGTGGTGGTCACCAGCCCGCTAAAGTGCAAATCCGCTAATTGCGGACCTAAATATTTTGTTTGCACTTTAGCGGTCTTACTAATTTTTATAATTCATAAGCGGATTGGTGCTTTCTAAAGTTATAATGCAGTACCGCTAATAACTAATTATCTACCATTATCTTGAACAGCGGAAGATATGGCTGTCAATGAATCACAACACATGATCTGTTTAACAGCACCCCTCCCAGATAAACACACTTATTGAGAAGGTATACATCCTTGCTGACTGTTTCTTTCTGTCACGGTTCTGATTTCCCACAATGCTTTGTGTCTGCTTACATAGCAGGAAGGCAACATTTAGTACTCCCTGTCCCAGTAAAAACAGTAAACGTTTGCAATCCATACTAAAATTTTGTATGTATTGATTTATTTTACTTTACAATCGGAGCTCTTTTTATTAAAAAAAATGTAAACGCTGGAGCTCAATACTTCACGTAATTGGTCGAAGCAATCGGCCAACGTGGTTAGACAGACATCTAGTGGTCAACTGGAGCAACTACATGGAAAACTTTAAAATCCAAGCTCTTATTTTGAAGTTTGCAGATAGTTTCCTGTATTCCGTGCTTTCATTTCCCGTCACAAATCCAATCCGTCATGTACCCAGATTGCATCGCTTCAGTTTTCCAATAAACCGTTTTAAAATTACTTTATTGATGCTTCTTTAATGAAAAATCTACAACAAACAAAAGAAAAAGACAAAGAAGCAGCCGAACTAGCAATCCTCAACAACTTTTTTAATTTTTACACCAGGAGCCAAAGGTCTGTTTCAGGAAATCACATCCCCAGCAATCGTCGGTTGTAGAATCAAGTTGTAAAAGGGTTCATATACCGCTAGTTGGCAGTGTTGTGCATATATTGTACATGAATTGTTGCCAGTTAGTAAGTGTCAAATTGAACTTGTGCTTTAAAATTAGCTTCTGCTAGTTTTTCTATAGCATAAGTGCTTTTGAAGTTGCAGACTAAAATATTTTCATAAGCGCTTTAGAAATTGCGGAGCTAATTTTTTGGATTAGCGCTGCCCACCACTGACTGATTGTATCAGTTTAGTTTAATAAAGTTTTTTTTAAGAATGCAGTGATTCAAAATTCTCAAATCAGTTTTATATCAAAGAACCTGAGGATATTTGCCTAAGAATTACCAACAATCACACACGCCTTCTGCGTGTGTTTTGGTATTGAATTGTATTCAGATGGAGACGTTCATGCCAGGAAAGAGCTTTCCTCAAACCGCCCTGCAGATCCCAAATAAGAGCCGGGGTCTTGGTTGTCAAAGGGTGTGTTACGGCTGGTTTAGAGAGGATTGTAGGGAAAGGAGATGGAGCAGTATTCGGTGGGGAATAAAGTATGATTGAATGAATAAATCTGAGCTTCCCTGCTCCTGAGAGGAAGAAACATCAAAGGCTGTGACTGAGATTATATTTATTAAAATTAAACCTGGCTCATATTAGGGCTTGTTTTTTGGCCTCCAGTAAATCCACAGTGCTCTATTTTTCCCTTCCTCGTCTCTCTGATGCGTCGTTCGTGCCGTTTTGGTTTTGTTTGTTTTTCCTTTTTATCAAAAAGAGGAAGTTAGAAGCTCAACCACAGTTCTCGTTCATTGTTTATCTTATTATTATTTTTTTATTTTGCTCTTTGTCCCTTTCCTTCTCCTCACTGTCATTTCCTTTGTCTTCAGGCTTTGGCTACCTGACCAGGCAGCTGATGGGTCTGGCGGGCGGCCGCTTGGTGCTTGCCTTGGAGGGGGGTCACGATCTCACAGCCATATGCGACGCCTCTGAAGCCTGCATCTCAGCTCTGCTTGGCAATGAGGTAAGTTAAACTCAGTAAATTAAAGGTTAAATGCTGGGGTTTAATACATATTTGAAAACTCCATGCATAGACAAAATGTATTGTTTTGCCGTTCGTATTATTTTGTTGCTTTACATTTATTCACATTATTAATTATTTCAACATGGGCCTAAATTCTAGTCTAGAAGTTTCTTCTTCCAACTTGCTGGAAGCAAAATTCCTAAAACGACAACTCTGATCCACTCTGTTGTGCTAAAGTCTTGGAACAGCTTTTCTGTAGCTGCTAAAGCTGTTTTTTCCTTCCTGAATTCTGCAAACACATAAACATTTACAGCTCTTGGGACCCTTTCATGTGGCTTGACATCGGTGCTYATAATAAACTATGTCACATAGCAGAAATGCACAACTATGTTCTTCAGCTTTCATAATAAACAAATTTATGTGCATAAGAACTGAGATATTTACTGCATGTGTGCTGTTAAAAATGTCCAAGTCTAAACTGAAATCAGTCCTGCTGAAAGTTGTGTTTGTTAAATATTGGAGGGTTTTTGTTCATGCTCTGCAGATCTGTTGAGTTTTTAAATGGGCCGATTGTAAAAAGCAAAATGAAAAGCTTTATTTGCTCAGATAATTGAAAGTATTTCTTCGTATCAGACTTGTCAAAGAACGGTAACATTTTAAAAGATTAATCCAACAAGTCTGCACCTGGGTCAGAGCAGGTCAGGCTTCGAGGACAGATTTTTTGCTGTCATGAAGCTTTGTTGCTCCAGTTTGAAGGACACTCGTTTTACTCACACCTCCACCCTGCAGAGAGGCACTGAAGCGAGCCCGGGTCTTTTGCTTCTAACGTTTCAGCGGCCTGCTGGGCACCCCCCGCTGGCAGTGGGTTCGAGGAGGTCCCTAGATGGGTGCCACGGTGAGCTGAGAATTTGAAAATCGGCAGGAGGCAGAGGGGGCCGTCAGTTGCCTCTGGCCTGCAGGGCACCGCTCTCACCGACGGCCCCGTCACTGATCCACATCTGAAAACGCTTACCCTCACACCTCTTCCAGCAGGGTCAGCCTGGGTCTGGGGATCAGATAATAAAAGGAAATGGAGTAATCATTTGAGCCAAGAGGGAGGAAACTATTGTTATTCAGCAGCCGTAGAGTTCTGTATCTGCAAGTGTTAGATTATTTCCAAACATACATTTATAGTAGTGGGTCGGTGTGTTTGGATGTCAGTTTTTACTCCGAGAGTTAAATATTAGGGGAAAAAAACAATAGAAAATGAGATGGCTTTGATGAAGTGTTATTTTTCTTTCTGTGCRAACCTAAAGTTTTCTCCAGCTGGCAGCAAGTGATGTCAGCTGTTTGAACAAAGACATATTTTAGTTGTTTGAGGCTGTGATAGCTGATAGTGACTAAAGGAATAAAACAAAGCTTAAAGATCCCTAATCAGATAAAAAAGACAGGAAGAAAACTTAGGCTATGTAACAGACTTGGAATGCTGCTGGGAAATGTCAGTGTGGTACTGAGGTAAAAGATGAGAATAAATACCTGTGCCTTTTTTTTTACCTCCGCCAAGGGCGAGGTAATGTTTTCGGTCGCGTATGTCTGTCTGTCTGTTGTTCTGTCGTTCTGTCTGTGGACAACATTACTCAAAAATTTGTGGACGGATTGCCATGACATTTTTACCACTTGTGGGTACTGGGCCAAGGAACACAACTTTAAATTTTGGTGATGTTCCGGATCACGATGCGAATACGGGAATTTTTTTTCTTTTAACACTCTGAGATCGGCAAAGCTGTGATGCTTTCACAGGGCGTGGGTTTCAAAT